GTTTTTCACTTTCAAAAGACGTTAAAGTGAATTGACTATCTACTCGCCCAATGTGTTCATGACATTTACCGTGCAATGTCCAGCCTAAACGGCTCCAAGACAAAACTGGAGAGTTGGGAGGACCTTCAATTATTTTCCTTGCTAGAATAAGGTCACAGTTGTCTTGACCTATAAGTATTGTAGGTTTAAAATTTGCTGACGGTAAAGGTTGACCAATTGACCGTAAGTGAGACCACTTCTTTTTTAGTTTGACAGTATCCACCATTTGTAAGTCCAATGGTGACTGGGTTCGTACATTGTTTAATGTAAATACTTCGTCCTCATATAACCCTTTAATTTTAACTTTCACAGTCATGGATGTTGGGTCGAAATGTTGGGTTGCATTGGACCAGCATGTCGTGAGGGGTTCAATACTACCGTTGACGCCTAATTTATCGGCTGTAGCTGAATCCAACAAAGATACTGTTGACCCGTCATCTAAGAGTGCGTAAGTGTCGATCTGACAACTTGGGCCATATAATGTCACTGGACATACTCTTAGTAGAACACGGTTATTAACAACATGACTGCTAATAATTTCTTTATTTTGCGGTTCGCTGTCCTGTTTGGGAAACCTCTCAACTTTGTCAGTATGGAGAAGACGATGGTGAAACAACTTACACCCATTTATCCCACAAACCTTTTATACTTTACATTTTTGGAGCTGGTGATGTCGAAAGCAGAAGAAACATAGTTTCTTTTCGACAATCATTTTCCATCTCTGCGATACATCTGCCTTCCTGAAAACTCCACATCGTTCACTTTCGTGGCTGTTGAGACAAAACATACAGTTAAACTGTTTGTCTTCGGTAGAACTGATATAAACCGGCTTTATGTCAGTTTTATTCTGCCAGAGTTTCTCTTCTGTAGGACGAAAGTAAATACTCAGGATTGAGCATTGTTTTTCCAACCAAGTGGAAAACGCCTTCAAGTTTGTTGAGACATTCATTTAGTAAGTAAGGGTTTAATACATAATTTTCTAGATGTAATGACTCTGCTGTAGCAGTAAAATTCAAAATATTTGTCGAAAACTCAACAAGACTTGTAGTGTTGTCTTCCTTGACTGAAGGTAGCCTACGAGTCTTTTTTAACATTGACTCCAAAATGAGTTCTGGTCTACCAAAACGCATCTGTAAGGTCTTGATAATTGACTTAAGATTTTGACTTGAGACAAAAAGAGGCTTAACCATTCTAAATGCTTCTCCCTCTAGGCAATTCCTTACTCTTATGAGGTTGTCATCCTCACTAAAAAGATAGGCAGTTTTTTCATACGCCGAAAAAAATATCGGCCATTCATCAGGCTTGCCACTGAAGCTTGGAAGTTTTTGATGAAATGAAACAGGCTGTATAGCTTTTTGGAAGGTATCCGCAAGCTTTTGCACGGCTGAGGTCATGATGGCTGATGAGGACTTAAGAACTGTCTGTTCTTTTTCATTCAACCACCTTTCAACCTAGCTTTGCGGTTCTTCCTCAACATCAAGATTTATGCTAAGTCCTACCTTGGTTTCAGATCGATTATTAGGGCGGCTTGACTGTTGACTGCCACACACTGAAGCAGACTCAAGCTCAGCTCTCGCTTGAATACGTTTTTGAAATAATGAATGAAATAATGTTTTTTTTTTCATTTATAATCGTTATTATAGACAACCTAATGCGGCTATGAGAGGGAAAAATTTGTAGAAACACTAAAAAACAAGATCAGCTTTTTGAGAAAAGATAAGATATTTACAAAAGATTTTGATTATATCTAACTGTTGTGTAGATCGTGAGGATTTCCATAATCTTCGTGAGTCGCCTGTAATGCTTCGCAATTGCTCGAATTCGAGCAACAGGTACACTAGTTATATATCATTTTAATATACAGATTACTTAGATATTATTGTAAAATACTTGATGATCTAATTGATTTTTAGAGCAGTCTTTAAAATATTGGGTTTGTTTTAGTGGAATATAATTTGATTGAACTAACAGCTGGATGGATATAAATATTCTATAGAACTATGAGGTTATTTTATTTGATTTATTCATTGATTGATTATAGGAAATAAGCAAGATTAGTAGAGATAAGTAGACCGCAGAGATAAGTACAGTAAGACCATTGCCGTATACGAATTGAGGCTCTGCCCACGAGTCTTCAAAGAAAAGCCTATGGGAAAATATTTTACAGTTTTTTTTTTTCAGAGATAAACAGATGAATGACATAGATTAAACACGATTTTATCATTGACCTAGGATACTGCAAGTAGACTTACTATCCTTTTGCAAAATCTAAAACCTTGTTTGGCGTGTGTCCATGTGTGGTTACATTTGGGTGCGCTGATGTAGGCAAAATATCACCTATATTTTTCAACTAAATATCTTATAGTTTGAATAAATGAATATGTGGAATTAGGGCCCTATTACGGTGACGTCACCGGTTACGGTACGGGCAGCCAGCCTCAACACCAGAGAAGTCACCAGGAGTGAGACCAACCCCCAAAGTTCCTCCAATCCAGTGTCTAAAAACATTCAGCACTGTCACCTCGTTGAAGGACAAAAAGTGCTCCGTTAATCCGCGTCTTCTGTTCTATTAAATTACTCTTCAGTTTAAGTTATATAGTTATAGTTAAGTTATATAGTTATTTCAGTTATTACTCTTCAGTTTAAAAAATGTCTAGTGATAAAAAATTAGTGAATAAGCGGGGAAGAGATGGAGGGAAGGGAAAAAGGGAAGACGACTCAGTGAATGAAAGCCAGTCTAGTATAAAATGTAGTGGTGAAAAAGATACCAAGAAAGGTCATGTGTAGACACGACCGACGCGCGTCTACATGTCCGTCATAGCTAAAATAAAAGTAGGCCTACCATGTATTTTTATGTTTTAATCGTGATGTATCTAAGTGTAAAGTTTGTGTACGTGTGCCGAAATGGATCGCCTGTAATAGGACCGCCTGAACTTCAACCTGGAGGCGAGTTAGCGTAGCGAACGAGCTAACCTGAAGGCAAGTGAGCGTAGCGAACGAGCTCCAACCTAAAGGTGAGTGAGCGTTGCGAACGAACTTCAACCAGGACGTGATTGAGCCATGCGAACGAGATCATCTTGAAAATTAAGAAGTTAAACAGGGCAAAGCCCGCGGGATTATAAATAGTCAAAGGCAAGACAACGTCTGCCTGGTTCAGCTAGTTTTATGTAAAACACTATAAAATATTTATTTATTTATATTTGCCTTTATAACTATATATTCATGTCTAGGTGAATAAATTTACTATCATTTTATATAGTTGGTATGTGAGTTTTGTGTTTTTGAAAAATAATATACAAGTGTGTATAAAAAAAATTTTTTCTAGAAAAATATAAACATTTATAAAAGTCACAAATATTTATTGTAAGGATCATTTTCCATTAACAACTCTTACTTTATTTGATCTCCAATGTTATTGCCTTTACAAAAATGTGTACTTTTACTACATTTCTTAATAACACATTTATTTGGTTTTTGTTTGAAATTTGTAGTGCAAAATCGTGAAACTTGCCATTTTATTGTTTTTGGGGCATAACTTTGTAAAAATAAGTTAAATGGTGATTGAAATCTTTTTTACATTTCCATGTAGGGAAATAAATTCCAAATATTTTGTATGTCTTACATTTTACATGAAAAAATTTTGGTTCGTGCAGCAAAGTTTTACTTTCAAAATTAAAAAAACAATTTTTTTCTAACTAATGTCAATATTTACTATTCTAAATATTTATTCTGTTGCCATTTTCAAATTCTTCATTTAACTGCGAACAATTCAAGTACCTATACGGTTCAATAGCTTTGCTCTGTTGGTTAAGTTTATGCATTTTTGAAAATACGACTGCAAAATCGCCAAAAATGCCTTGCCAGCTACAGAGTTTGCCCATTGCCAGTAGGAGGGTTAAAGCCCAGTAACTGTGTACCAAGTTCTGAAGCTCTATCTTTATTACTTTTTGAAATATTGAACCGTTACGGGACTTTTTTCCCAAACAAAAAAATTGTATTTACCTTTTGTCTACAGCTCAATAAGTTGTAACTTCCGTTACGGCCGTTTTGGCATTAACATGCCATCATCACACGTCTTCGGCTGAAGCAGCGTCGTCACAGTAGAAACACATAACACAAACACAAACACATTTTACGAATACAAATATACGAAAATAAAACTAACAGGCCTGTCGCACACACGTTACCGGTTGACATGATCAGAGCTAGATGCCTGATCATGTCAACCGGTAACGTGTGTGCGACAGGCCTGTTAGTTTTATTTTCGTATATTTGTATTCGTAAAATGACTAAAATGTGTTCGTGTTATGTGTTTCTTCTGTGACGATGCTGCTTCAGCCGAAGACGTCTGATGATGGCATGTTAATGCCGAAACGGCCGTAACGGAAGTTACAACTTATTGAGCTGTAGACAAAAGGTAAATACAATTTTTTAGTTACATCACAGCTCAGGGGCTAAAAATATGGACTTTTTTCCACCCTGTATAAGTGGTGACCCCATCTTAAATTAAAATAATATGAATTCAAACTTAATTTTTCTCAGGGTAATAGCTTTGACTAAAATACAACTAGACATTCCATCCCCATGTTAAGTTTGTAGCCAGATTTCGTCGTCGAAGTTGATGTGTGCCACCGACAGATTGCGCTGATCTAAATTAGGTACTAAATTCTGTCGAATAGCCAACACAAACTGTAACTATATGATGTAATAGCATATCAAACTTAGAAAATGACTTACAGTGAGCTATAGCAACTGTTATGACTCATCAACCTGGTCAGCAACACACTAAATAAATAAGGTATAGGCCTAAACACTAGCCCATTCTGTGATTGGCTCACACAACTAGATTCTTTATTGGCGACAGCTGTTCCATATAGATGGGATGTCTACTTCAGTATCCAATAGTCAATTGTAATAGGTAATAGGTAATGGTTTTTATAAATTAGGTTAACTTAATTTACCTGAGCACTTCCCTAATTTCTTCATCAGTCTGCTTATCACTAAGTTGACCGAATGTGATTTCATAGGCCATAGTTTGTAAGGCAAACATGGCAGTTTCAATTCCCTCGTGTCCGTCAAAAACCCCATAAAGGTATGTGTTTTCATCGAGCTGCCAATGAAAACTTGTATCTTCAAATGGGTGTTCTTCCTGTCGATAGCCATCTTCCCGATATATTTGATTTGTTGAGTAGCCTATTCCTAAAAAAAGTGTATCATATATCGTATTTAACCAACAAAATATTGACTTCAACATTAATGTTTGCTTTGTTGATTGATGTGAATACAGACTCTTTTGTCAGTTATTTATGCTGCTAGGAAGTATGTAGATATTAAACCTTTTGACTACAGTAGCTAGACCTTGTCCTTTTATGAAGGGGCCAGGGTTCACTAAAGACTCTTTGCACAGTCTACATGAAAGGATTGCTTGGGTACAGTAGAGAACCTGCGATATTTTACTGGATTAAATATCAATATATTGATAATAATTTGGTTCGATATTAATATAGAATATAGCATTGAATTTCATTTTACCATGTGTTAAAATTATAAATAAATAATATACCCTCTGCAGCAAACCTGGAGACTAAGCAAATTTTCATATTCCTGATTTGATTTTAACTTAAATTTATTTGAATAACATTAAGTTTAACGAATACCTAGATTGTTGCTACAGGGAGAGTAATAAAATGTGTTTTTTAGTAAAATTATAATAGCTTAGTATAAAATAAATAGATTTGCCAATTTTGATCAAAATATATCCATACAGGGCCGTATTTCCCAAACGACGGACACAGCGGTTGCCGGGGGCCTTGGCCTAGGAGGGGGCCTCAAATTTTTTTTGATAAATTTATTTTACCGGTATATTGTGTTTCTTCGCGATCGCAGGAAACTTTGATGAAATCTGTGTGGCCGCAAAAGATCTTCACTATTTCGCCGTTCACATAGGAATTGTTAATATTCATCCGCGATAACGAAAGATGTCCAGGATTTAATCGTGACCGCGGATGTCGAAGATCATGTCCCTGCAAACCCGGAAGATCTTTAAGATTTTGTCATGATCGAAAGAGACAAAGATGATGTCTCCGCACTCACGAAAGATATTCAACATTCCTACGCGGCCACATGAGACCTTTATGATTTCGCCGCGACCGGAGGCACAGAAAACGTACTACTACCTATAACCCAGAATGCCAACCGCATGGTAAAAAGCATTGAGTGTTTTGAGAGAGCTTTGCCTGTCAATCCGTAGGCAGCGCTACCAGCGTTGCTATGCTATTGCATGGCAACACTGGTGGTGCTGCCTACGGATTGACAGGCAAAGCTCTCTCAAACCGATTAATGCTTTTTACCATGGGGTTGGCATTCTGGGTTAGTAGGTTTTCTGTGCCGGAGGAGACGAAGATGACGTTTCCGCACTCGCACAAGATGTTAGCCTACCTCTTTCTCCGTGGCTACAGAACACTGATTCCATTGCCATGGGAAGAGACAAAGATGACGTCACCGGTCTCTGGGAAGATGTAAACTATTTCGCCGCGATCGGAGGAGATGATGTCCCTGCACTTGCACAAGATGTTAACTAAGTTATTTATCTGTGGCCATATGAGATTCCCTGCAGGAAGAATCCCTGCAGAAAACAAAACAACTAGGATTGGGTGTTAAGCTTGGAGTAGATCTAAACATTTTGGCATTTGCTGATGTACATTTTGTCAGAAACAGTTGAAAACTTGGTAAGTTTGGCAGAAGTACTTATCACAGAAGCTAACAAAATAGGATTGCAAGTAAATGTAGAAAAAACTAAAATCATTAACTTTGGAAGACAAGCAAACAATAGAAACAGAAACATACAGATAAAGAACTTAACTATAAATTGTACAGAAAGTTTCAAATATTTAGGAGTAACTGTACATAGTAGAAACTCAGAAGACGAAGACATACTAACTAAGTTATCAAATGCCAATAAGTGTTGGGGAGCCTGCAAGAAGTTGATCTCATCTAAAGTATTATCTCACAGAACCAAAATACAGTTAAATATAAGACAATAATTCAACCTATTCTGTTATATGGTAGTGAAACATGGGTATTGTCCAAGAAAAATGAAAACCGACTCATGGTGTTTGAAAATTAAGTACTAAGAAAAATATTTGGTCCAGTACAGGAGGGACAAATGTGGAGAATAAGGAAAAATAGAGAGTTAAGATCACTATACACCGACCCAGATATTGTTGCAATAGTTAAAGGAAGAAGGTTAAGTTGGATGGGGCATGTGCTAAGAAGAGAGAAAGGAACAAGACTGTATGAAGTTTGGAGAGCCACACCTGGAGGTAAACGTCCATTGGGAACATCAGGACAATGGGTGCAAGTGTCAACTTGGCAGAAGACAGAGAAGGGTGGAAGAGGCGAAGAATCAACTGAGATTTGTGGAGCCACGGCAGTAAGTACGTAAGTAGGCCTATATGAGAGATTCATGATGTCGTCTGCACCGCGATCGCAGAAGACAAAGATGACGTCTACACCAGCAATAGATTTTATAAGGCGTACTTATTGCTGACTTTACCCCCGCCCCTAACTTAGTCCCCAGATACATGATATTGATACTGTCGTGCCCGTTGAAGTGTCCTCTATTTGATGACATTATCGGTAATATGCTATGCGGCCGTATTTTTCCGCAAAACGGCCAGCAATATATTTTTTAAGGCGTAATGAAAGATAGTATTCAAGAGGTAATTAGCCTAAGTTTATTAGTCACAAAACTCAGTAATTAAGTTAGTCATTACATGCGCCCAAAAGTCAGGATAACCAATAACAATAACTTAGTTAATTATAAATACCAACCTGAGAGCCTACACACAGGCAAAGCATCAGTCCAACTATTACTGTCTTGGGTTGGAACTTCTGCTCTTGTAGGCATAGTAAAAGTTTTTAATAATTTGTGAGTACATACATTGATATAAGATATTTTCAGTCAACTTAATGAAACATAAAGCTAGGAATATAGACTAGGCCTGGGTTGAATTACTAGTTGTTCATGGAGCTACAATTGTTAATATAATAGAATAAGCTTCACATTCATTCTAATTATATATTTTGAGATTGGCATACTTCCTAATCCTAAATTTAAAAAGAAACAAACATTTTAAAGAAAAATAAAATTGGTATACGGTAACGTTGGTCAAATTTGATACAAAGCTCAAGCAGATAGCAGACAGCTAACTGAAAAACTGACAGAGTGACAGCGACAGCTGGAGCTGGAGCTGATCTTCACAGACTAATGAAATTAAACCAAACGAACAGTCGGGACAGCAAACCAGAAATAATTAAAACCGCAATGTCCATAGGCGCTGATTATAAAACATACTTCATTACAAACCAAAGGCAATGGCATAGATAAAACATACTGCAATGGCTTGCCCTGTTCCAGGGGTGGCATGTCATAGTGCATAATCGGCATAATCTCACAGTGCCTAATTCAAAACTTTCTCACAGTGCCTAAAAGCGAAAACGTGTTATAGTGCGTAATCAAAAATATGTATTTTGCAAACTTCTTTAAATTCACCCTTCGCTGTAAATAAATCAGTTGATTGGAATCTCTTCCATTTGTTTTGATTTTATGTTTATATTTTGTTGTTATTTCGTCACCAGCATGGCAACCCATAAGGCCCATGTTAATTTTTTACAATTTGAAATTCATTTGTTTGTGCTTATTATTGAGCCTATTTTAATTTATAAAGGCATTCTGCACATCTACATGAAAATATCTTTCTAACAGTATGCGTAGATTTAAAGTGTTAATCTAAGGTATTTTAAAAGTAAACATTTAAATCTTCATAATTATTATGAAGATTTAAATGTTTACTTGGGTACAGTTTCTTAACTGGGCTATGCTAATATCGATTGAAACTATCGAATTGAAAATATTGATTAATAATCGATATTTTTAAATATATTTATTTACCAATTTGGTAAATCTATCGATCACGGACGTGTCGCTAAAATTTTTTTTTCACTATTTTTATGCTAAATTACGTCCTGAATTCAAAAATGATTGTCATTTTCCGCGGAAAAGCACCGTTTTCCCGGAAAAGTGGAAAAACGGGGGAAAATTGTTTTGCGGAAATGGGTCATGTGTATACTCAAATTAACCGGTAAAGCGAGCTGATCAAGATCCGATTAATATTAACGGAGATACGGCCGAAAAAGCGCGGCCGGAAAAGTTCATTTGTCACAGGGAAATTTTACATAAGTTGTGTCAAATCGTGTAAAATTGTGTAAAATTGTGTGAAATTTATAAACATTTTGTGAAATATGTGTGAGAAAGTACACATGAACTCACATCACAGTCACAGTGAAATTCACAATTCATGTGATATTTTTGTCATAGTTTCACAAATTGTGTAAAATTTGTATGAAATTTATAAAAGTTGTGTGAAATGTGTGTGATAAAGTACACACGAATTTACATCACAGTCACAGTGACATTCACAATTCATGTGTAATTTGTGAAATTGGTATGAAATGTGTGTGATGAAGTACAAAAGTACACAAAAATTCACATTACAATCACAGTTAGTTGTTGTATTTGATGATATGAATGGTCAAAATATTACACCATTTTTGTCAAAAGGTCGACATAAAAATATTGACTGTCTTTACTTGAGTAAATCTTGCAGCAAAGTACACAAACATTTATGGGATAATGTAAATTTCCTAATATTATCCAAACAAGACGATTTAAGTTTTAAAACATGTGTATCACAATCATGTTGGTAATGACGTTTCATTTAACCAATTTTGCGATCTCTTCCTCTAATATTTGGATAAAACTAAATATGGCTTTTTCATAGTAGACAACGTGCTTAAAGTGGGGTCTCTTTGCTAGTTCACCACTACTTTACATTTACACCTGTAATGGTCAATAAATGTAAGAAATAGCTGTTTTAGCTTAATATCGAATATATTTATGGGGAATAAGTAATAAATAAGGTTTGACAATTATATTGGGATATGTGGGCAAAGATCAGGATTTTTGGAATTGGTGGCCAAAAAAATGATCCCCATGTTGTTCTTATGGGGGAAAACGCCTAAAGTGGGGTCATACCATCATATTACCACTACTGAAAGGCTAAATAATAATTGCAATTATAGATTTATGTTTGATCAATTTTATAATTACTAAGAGCAAGAGTATTAATGTCATCTTCCAGAATAAGCCTCTCGTCATCATCAAAAGATAGAACTTTCTTATTCATAGTTTTTGACATGTTTACTCACCTAAAATTGTTTAAGCCCATAATATTGTTTTAAATGCTTATATATCGAAAACGGTTTGAGATACGGCAAAACGGTTGAAATTCTGGCACACATAGTGGGTGTCAACTTTTGATTACAAACAATATTACAACATAAAAAAATCAAAAATTCAAAAACAATTTTAACATTATTTTATATGGGTACCGGTACAAATAACAGTTATCATGAAAATTTTCAAAGTCCAGACTTTTTTTACATTTTTGCACATTTGACATTTTTAAGTCCATAATATTGTTTTAAAATACTTGTATCTCGAAAACTATTTGAAATATAGCAAAATGGAAAAAATCTGGCAATGGATATATTTTAACTTTAATAGATACATTTTCTAAAAAAGCTTATACTGCTCCGCTAAAAAATAAGACAGGGTTGGTGGTTACAGAAGCCATTAAAACCATTCTACCAAAGGGGGTTAAAAACATTCAATCTGAAAATGGAAAAGAATTTTTTAATCAATATTTTAGCAAACTAATGAAAAAGTTAAATATTAATCACTATCACACATTTTCTACAACTAAGGCTGCAATTGTAGAGAGGTTTCAGAGAACTTTAAAGAATTGGTTATATATGGAATTTAGTGCTCAGAGGAGTTATAAATGGTTGGATTTACTTCCAAAGTTAATTCGAAAATATAATAATAAGGTGCATAGATCTATAGGTATGAAGCCTAACCAAGTGAGTATTAAGAATAGTAAATATGTGCACGAGAGGTTGACTTCTAAAGTAGTACAAGTTAAAAAGCCAAGATATAAGGTAGGTGAGAGCGTGAGAATTTCCAAGTATAAACATGTTTTTAGTAAAGGTTATACTCCGAATTGGACAGGGGAACTATTTACAATAGCAGAAGTTAAGAATACAAAGCCTGTGACTTATATCTTGAAAGATGGAAATGGTAATATAATCAGAGGAGGATTCTACACAGAGGAGTTGTTAAAGACCAAGTATAACGACATGTATTTGGTAGAGAAGGTAATTAGGAGAAAGGGTGATTTATTGTATGTCAAATGGTTTGGATTCCCAAGTAGTCAGAACTCATGGATTTCCACTAAGGATGTCCAAGGGAGCGCGCCATGAGCCGGGAGCGCGCCAAAGTTCTCGTACAAACCTCGCACTGTCAAGTTGATGATTTTGAGAATATACATGTGAATGGATGTGGATTTGAAATAGTAATGAAGTTGTACAATAGTATTGAACCTTAATATAGGCTTGTATTGGTCGAGAGCAGGATTTTTGGAATTAGTGGCTAAAAAATGATCCCCATGTTATTCTTATGGGGAAAACGTGCCTAAAGTGGGGTCATATTGCTAGTTTGTCACTACTCGTTATAATAAAATATAAAATATTAAGTATTCATTACTTCTTGAGTAATATTTCATGTTTTAAGTTAGGATTAGTTTATTATTGTGTCAACAAATTAGTGCTGCTAAGTATAGATTAAAGCTTTGGTGTTACCGTACTGTATCATAAAGATATGATTGTCCAAAAACAGTAGTAATGGGTCTACACCTACACAGTAAGTAAATACGATTATTCTTGATTCGATATTTTCGTATATACGATAGAGCTGAATATCGACATTTTCTTCTTCTTTTCGGGTTTTTTGAGAATCGAGTATAATTTTACGTATATTGATTGATATTGGAACCTTATTTAGTTTAATTAACCACCTTATGTAAGATTTATATTATTTTAACAATGTTTTATAGGGGTAGCGGATTTCGACCCCCGGATATTTACCCCCATGAAAAAACGCCTACGTCATTTTGACGTCACGAGGGGCGGGGCCTATACACGGTCGAGAAACAGTCCGCGACTGGAAATCTACCCCCGGACATCTACCCCCGGAAATCTACTCCCGTGGTCAGCTACGCTACGTATCGGCCAAGATGCATTGTTGTAATTGATTTTATTAATTGGTTAATGTAAATAAACGGCTTATTCGCTTACGGTTATTCATTAGCTTCTAATATCCAGTATAAAGCATGCGATATGTCGTAGTCATGTTTAACATTATCCATCTTCCTAATTCAATAAGCTGTAACAATCCATTTTCACCCGACCTACTTCGTCGATTTTTAAAGCTTAAGACCCATTGTAGCACATTCTTATATTCAGAGAATGTATAACGCTTAATATATATATATATATATACCATATATATACCTATATATTTTAAGAGGTTGGTGACCTCTTTTAACCTTGCATTTGCCCGTCCACATAGACTACAGATCTGTGCGTGGAACATATTAATTCAGTTAATTAGTGTTTTTACCAGGAAAGTTTTGGGGCAGTTTTGATTTTTTTAATTTCTTATGTATTTTGGGGTGCTGAATCCGAGTCTGAGGTTTGCCAACAAAAATTCTTTACGCAACATTGACAAAAATGAGAAACGTGGAACATATTAATTCAGTTAATTAGTGTTTTTACCAGGAAAGTTTTGGGGCAGTTTTGATTTTTTTAATTTCTTATGTATTTTGGGGTGCTGAATCCGAGTCTGAGGTTTGCCAACAAAAATTCTTTACGCAACATTGACAAAAATGAGAAAAATATGGAAAAAATTATATTTTTTGTAATATTTAGCTTATAACTCAGAAACTATCAACTTTTCGTTATTATTCTAAATGATAAAAATTATAGTACACAACATTTGCTACAAAATGTACCCCTAATGTGGTAATATCCTATGAACCGTTTAGGCTCCAGAGCTGTTTGAAAATTGGAACATTTTGTGTTGGTTTTTAAATTTCTCAAATTATTCTGTCATGACATATATTCATTTCATATGACCAGGCAAAGGTATTATATAAATCCAAAGTGTTAAAATTGCTGAATTGTTGATTTTTTATTTAGTTTACAGAAAGGTTACACGAACTGTTTCCGTTCATTTGTGAGCGTTCTAGCTTATTCATCTGGTCAATTAAAAAAAGGTTTAAAGAAAAAACAAATTAATTCGCTTAATTAGCTAATGAATAACCGAAGACCCGTTGATTTACATAAACCAATTAATAAAATCAATTACAACAATGCATCTTGGCCGATACGTAGCGTAGCTGACCACGGGGGTAGATGTCCGGGGGTAGATGTCCGGGGGTAGATGTCTGGGGGTATGTGTCCGGGGGTAGATGTCCGGGGGTAAATTTCCAGTCGCGGGCTGTTTCTCGACCGTGTATAGGCCCCGCTCCTCGTGACGTCAAAATGACGTAGGCGTTTTTTCATGGGGGTAAATATCCGGGGGTAGAATTCCGGCGACCAGCTGCATTAAACGCAAATATTAACATTTAGGGTAATTTTTAGGGTAACTCGAAGTAGATTTAGGGTAATTTTAGCCCGCCTTTAGGGTAAAATCGCAACAACGAGGTGGCAACACTGCAACCGTGACAGCGACAGCAGCTGGCTTCTGTTTGTTTTTGTTAGCTGTATTCCACGCACGATTGTTGATGTTGATACAGCTAGCATTTAGAACATAACCTCTATAGTAATAAAATATCTGCTTGCTGAGCTGCCTGCATTTGTATTTTACTGCCGGAATTCTTATAAAATCAACTCTGATCACCTCAATCGCAGATTATCTACAACGTTTGGAGATTTTCATAATTCAAAATGGTCCGATTTAAGCATCGGTAAGTCTAGCCTATTATTATGTCATTACCCTCGATGCTAGGCTATAATTTAATTTTACCTCTTCTAACTTCTAACTTAGGTCTAAATTGTATTCAGGCCTAAGTAAGTTGTTGTTTTGTAAAATGATTAGGCCTTCATTAATACCATGGATAAAACATACGTTTTATCTATGTTAATACAACAAACAAAATCAGTGAAAGTTATGATCAGTTTGGAATAAGATTGATTTATTGTAAAATTGTTTGTTATACTTAGGTGATATTTTTGTTTAGATATTTTACTGTGGAAGTAATACCTGGACATAAACCAAATTCCCACAGTTTCAAACTAAAGTCGCAAGACTTACATCAATGTTTATTAAATACTGTGCAAAAACTTCATGGAGATTATGGCATAGCAGCAGTGTTGGGAGGCTTCAAAGGTATTTACACGTTTTGATTACCTATTTAACCTAAATAAATTTAGGCTACTATTTTTGAGTTAGTCTTAGACATTATGGATCACTCTGGTGAGGATTTGATAATCTTTTCCAATGGCTAGGGCCTATAAAGCAATTAAACGAACGTATCAAATCCACAGTGTAGGCGGTAGACCCTAAATATTAGGACCCAGACCCCAGCCTAAGTTATTTGCACTTCCCGAATTCTGAAGTTGTGTAAATAAACATTTAAAAAAACCCGATAAAAAACTGGTTTGGCTGATTTTGAATAACATTTTAGTGTGACATGGTCCTTAACTCAAAACAAAATGGTACTTTTTTAACTCGGATTGCTGTAAACATGACGGTTCAAAAGTTAAGTATTGCAACTTAAATGATTTTTCCCATTAAAGTTTGAAATAATAGCCTGTAGAAAAAAGCTTGATCAACGCTGCTTTGTTATCCAGAATTGATAGTCTATTAAATTTAACCCAGTACATTTTTTAATCAAGGACATTAACTTATTTACTGGAAATGCACATGTCATCATCTACAGCAACAATATATGAAGAGTCTCTTGTTATTGCATAAATTAACCATATTAATATTAATATGTCTATGCAGTGGCGGTCCATGGGGCAATTAAGTTTAGCGTGACAGCGCGACTACCCCCCCCCCCCTAAATATCAAGATGGCCTTTGTTTTTTGCCTGACAATTTTTCGGCTTTACATTTTAACGGGTAGGAGGAAGCATCCACCCCCTAAAATTATTATTACTATCATTTGAGATGGGGAAGCCATCTATATACGTGCGTATTTTTACCCAAATATGAGTGATGAAGGATGAGTGTAGAATGGAGTGTGATACCTTGTGTAGCTTTTTTGCTAAGACCAGTTGTTTCATTAGTCAGGACCATTTTATGTTTGCCCATCAAAAGCCCAATGATAAAGGCCAGCCGGGCCCAGTTTTGAACCATCAGAAAGCACACTTTTTCTCAGTTGAATCCTGATGCCACCTCTGTGTTATGCATTGTTATCCTACTTACTTGCTAAAGAACCTGCTGATCTTAGTAACAAAACTGTCCTTTCAACACTAATCCATCCAACAATCATTATTCACTTGTCATTACCTTCAAATACGCACCCTGATACATCATAAAAATATGTCTACCTATACAATAGAACCTCTTTAATCCGAACCCCCGTAATCCGAACCCCTCATTGCTGTAGGCCTACTCTATACACAGTACAGTCAGTTCTTTATTGTATACTGTATATAATTTACAGTACTGTTTATTCATTATGTTTCCTACTGTATTAAATAAACACTGTATTTTACTTTATAAATCATTTTTTCACTTTTCCCAAAATAATTTTGATCAATTTTAGCCATGTTTTAGCTATTGTTATGTAAAAACAACAATATGTTCTGTAATCCGAACTATTCAATAGTCCGAACTACCCCTGGTCCCAATTACTTCGGATTAAAGAGGTTCTACTGTATCTCTATGCTTGACCTTTACATAACAAGGTCTTCATAAACTAGTGTAGCATAGATCTCATCATGAAACATATCTGCCTTGATTAATCCAATTGGATTTAGTAAATACTGTAGGAGCTATTATTCATTAATTAGTTCTCTCTTTTTTCAGCAAAATATTGTAATCCAGTTACTCGGCTGGGTGTCATAAGAGTAAGGCATGGCCCTCATCGGTTGGTTGCCAGCTGTTTACCAATAGTAAAAAGCATAAAAGATACTCCAGTTTCTATACGTACTCTCTATACTGGAGCATCTCTAAAACATTGTTTCAAATTTGCAGTGGTAAGAATGGGTTTCTTCCTTTAATAGCCTTAGTTACTAAAATCAGATCCTAATAAAATCAACCCTGATGAAAAAAAGATAAGAAAATTTCCAAGGGAGTTTCCTTATAATTTAATTTGATCTGACTTGAATGGGATTCAATTCCCAATCTCTATTGAAATCTCCTGGACAAGATCCTAGAAGTTCAGCCATTCATCTAACCTTACAATGTAAGCTACTGTATTAACAGTAGTTTACTGGTAAACCCAACGTCCTAATAGTTATTTTAGGCTTAGCTGCGTGACCTACATTGGAAGCGGTTTTTCCTAATCAGCCAGCCCAACCAGACCAGACCCGACTCTTATAACAGACTGAAAGCCGGGTAGACGCTCCTACACAGCAGCCAGCCATTCTCACGGTCTTTACTTACACTCTACAGTCACAAAGCACGAGAGCAGTGTTCAGCTATGGACAAGCAGAGTTATAGCCAAGCAAATTTGTTGTTTTTAATGAGGTTTGTTTTTAATGAAGTGTTTTTAAGCAGCTTAGTTGTTGTCATTTAGTGTTTTGTTAATGTTAATTGTTTTCGGTTTGGAAAATGGATTAGGAACCTTTTGATTGTTTACTGAAGACACCTACAAGAAAGTGGGTTCATAAGTTCAATGAAGACCATTCTCAAAGCAAATACTACACAACCTGCTTACCAATACATGATCATGCAGATAAATTTTTATCAAAGAATGACAAGCAAAATGTTTTACTACATCATGTCACACATAGAAGGGAATATATTGGATTGGATGTGATTTATACACATATTGGGGAGTAATTTCAGGACGTATAAGAGTCAGCAAAAACAAACAGACAAAATAAATAACCTCAACTATGCACCAACCTCAGTCAAAGTTTCTAAGCGACTGGGTCTGACGTGACGAAAAAACATACTATTTTGATTCATTTCCGGCCAGTTCAGACCTGTTCCTCCTTCCCGGCACTACAATCCATCTTTGCATTTAGGAAACTGCGTGATATATTAACAACTCAGGACATGAAACTAGCATATTAGGCATATATCCAGTCGTTACTTTCAATTGGCCTTATCGTATCGGGCGGAGCTTTTTCCACTGTTTTAGAACCTCTCTTTGTCCTTCAGAAGTTGTTAGTCAAAGTTTGTTACAATAAGCCATGCACAGAATGTCGGAATAACTACTTCCCATTTATGGAAGTCTTACTCAATTCCTCTAACATTTCAGAAGTTTTATATCATAACATTACCTCCCATTGTAATTCTAATCAATTGTTTCATTCTCCATCGATTTTTTTTTTAAATGCATCACTGGTTGGTTGATAGAGTTGGGTGTAGAAGAAACAGAACACCTAATCAAAGCAGAGTATATAGGCAGACTTGACCCTACTTTATTCATTCGTAATCATTAGTAAATTACTAACATTGAGCATACTTAACTATATTTGTGATGTGGAAAGCGAAAAGGGACGAAAAGGGAATTGAAGATGTAAAAGGTCGAAATAAATAATTTTGTTAGCCTCTGCACGGTCTGAGAAAAGGTACCTCTTGTTATTTCGCCATAACGACAAGAAGTCCCATTTCTAATAGGCCTATTCACTGTATAAACAGACTTTAGTCTAAAAAATGAATTGTCCTGTTTTCTAATGAAAATTTAGAGAAGTACAACAAAGTTCAGTTTACGGAGAACAAAATATCTCACAAATTTTGCGGTCCTGACAAGAGGTACCTTTTTTTAAGTTATGGAGAAATAACATAGCTGGCTGACATATACAGGTTCCTTTTCTAAAAATGTGATTTTTACTACATGCTTCGATAAAACAATTATTGAAATGAAAACTACTGTGAGTTAAGACAGAAAATGGTATTATCTCCAAAGACGACATTATAAGCTTTCTTTTGATACAGAAATCATTTCTTAAAAACAGAAAAAAAAACATTTTTCATGCGTATTTGAAGTTTTCAAGATAGTTTTTCTCAAAATGACCCTTTTCCATAACAAAATTTCAATGTCCTATAATTTTAATAAAAAAAAATCGTAGATGCATGGGACTTGCACCAGGTGATTCGGAATTTAATAAGGAATTCAAATATGCATAGTGGAACAAAGTTTATTGTTAAAAAAATTTTATGTGTTAAACTACTAAGTATTGGTGACAAAATTGCACCAACTTAGGTTTCCATGCCCTCACAGGTAGGGAGTAACCAACGATCACATAAGACCAATAGATGGAGCATGTTGGCCGCGACGTGAAGCCAATATTTTTCACTAATCTTAACTAAGATGGCGGCTGCCGGCTGTGATGAGCCCTAGTAGCACACGCAACTAATTAAATGTTACTTGATAGCAATGATATCTGTGACAATACGCCTTTGTATTACAAATATTTATGTTACTAACACAATGACCTTCAAAATACGCTTTTGATTTTTTTCTAGCGTTCACCGTTTCTTAGAAAAAGTTAGTTTACATAATTAACAACAAAAACTTTTTGGGCGAAAGAAAAATTCTGATGAGCTACAAATTTATTTATAACATATGTATCTACATCGTATTAAAGTTTGATAAAGTTCTGATGTTTGGTTTACACTGTACGAATTTTCAGTCACAAGATAGTTTCTGAAACTCTTTAGCCTATACAACTCCCCTTTATATTCTGACTGTCATATTAATTTTTATGAAAGAGCTCAAAGGTATTAATTTTTTAGATGAATACAAAGAATAAAACGAAGAACATTTATATGTAATCCGCGTTTTTCTAATTAGTTTAGTAACTTTTCTGTATAGCTCCAAACTTGAGTATCTAAACTGTATTACAAGGGAGGTTGCAGGCAAAATCTGCCCGCATGACGCAATGCGGCGCGGCGCGGCGGGTAGCCTTCATAGTACAATTTAAATTACAACCAAACTACACCGGTTAAAGATTTGAAAAAATATGATCCAAAAAAAAAAAAAAAAAACAGCCGATGAACTTTTTCATGTCATATTTAAAAACTCATTTAAAAGTACCTACTTTATTTGAAAATTTCAAATAGGAAATACTAGCTGTGTACCCGTTCTACGCACGGGGATCTTATAGTATCAGTTGAAACCTTCTTATATAAAGAACAGTTAGTTGGTTTGCATATTTTCAGATATGCTGGCCAAACTATTTATTATACATACCTTAATTTTATGTCATTTGTTGTTGTTCCGGATCGGTATGACAATCAATAAAAGGCTAAATTACCTGTTTCCGCCGGTCGATCCTAATGTATCCTATTACAGGAGATGCATTTCGGCAAAATTAAATCGCCATCATCAGTCCTAATATAAGGTCTTGAGCTTCCCCATTAGGTGCATCTTGGAGTTTTTGAAACACATACACGAACTGTACACTTATACATAACAAATAAAACATAAATACACGGTAGGCCTACTTTTATTTTTACTATGGACAAGTAGACGCGCGTCGGTCGTGTGCCGAGTCTTGACTGAAAATGCTCATTTAAAAAATGTAAGGTCAAGGTCTATTTCCCGGTTATCAAAACTCAAGAACAATTTTATGCACAAAGAATCTCTATTTTCATTTACTGTTACCCTACAAATTATTGCACTTGCGATTAATTAAATCCGTTATGTAAGGAAAAACGTTTTTAATCTTAATTGGTTTGGATTTGCTTTCAAAACGTGATCGGAAATGGTTGCGGTATTTGTAAACAACATTCAATGTAAACATATCAGTGACAGCTAGAAGAAATAATCTTGATTTGAACAGCTGTTCGTTATTTCATAGAAGAATATGTGCTAAACATTGGGAGAAAACTTTACAAAAAATCGCACAAAATTGGGTTTTTAAACGTCCGTCATTTTATTTACAAAGTGGTGACGCCATATTTTAATGGCTAAAGACAATCTCGCCAATCCAGTGAATGCATTAAAATGATTTGGAACTTGATAGGTACTCTCGTTTTTCAGGAGTAGGCCGCGTAAAATGGCTCTTGGGTCGTAACAGACTGGAAGACAGACAGAAATTTAGATGAGACTTGTTTCGGTTTCTCTAATGTATAACACGTAAAAATAACCTAAAAGTTTATGATTCTGAGCAATGTACAGACAAAACTCTAATTTTATTTATATAGATTAACTCTCAAGCTTTTAGCGAATTTCCCTATAGGGAAGTAGCTATTACCGTAGGTCTCATGGTAAGATTCAAGATTCAAGATTCAAAATAACTTTATTCATTTTTCATACATGTGTACATAGAATAGCGTCAATTTAAACATTTTTCTAACTTACTACATTATACAAAAATATTAGATGTTAATGATTTCACTGCAATATACATGAAATAGACCTAGAGATGAGTTTATATCATTACATTAATAAAAAAAACTCATCTAGAGAGTACAACGGTTTGGATAGCATTACATTTTTCAGTTTTTTCTTAAAAACATTAAAATCTTCTGTGGATTTTAAATCCACCGGAAGAGCATTATAGAATCTAATACCTGCATAGGAAGGTTTCTTTTCATATAATTTAAGATTGTGGCTTGTATAAGCAAATACTCTATTGTTTCTAGTATTATAACTATGGTTTTGTCCTAACGTTTCTATTCTATGAGAATTCTTTTTTATAAACAAAATAAGTTCAAAAATGTATAGACTATATACAGTCAAAAATTCCAATTCAGTAAATAGGTGTTTAACAGAATCATCCCAATTTAGCTTTAAAATTATTCTTATTGCTTGTTTTTGAAGGATAAGAAGTTCATCTAAATTTTCATTTGAGGTATTACCATATAAAACAATACCAAAAGCGATATGAGACTGTACAAGGGCATGATAAAGGGTCTTCATTGTAACCAAAGTGCTAAATTTAGAAACCTTCCTTAATGCAAATAAACCAGAAGCTAACTTTTTATAAATTGATAAAACATGATTATTCCAATTTAAGTTTTTGTCAATTATTAGGCCCAAGAATCTAGAATTATCCACCTCTTCCAACACGTGATC